TATTCTTTAATTGTATATCTTTGAATTTATACATTATTTTCTTGTCATTAATATTTTCTGATTTCCATTTCACATATAATTAAGTTTACATCACCCTCTTTTGCATTGATCAAATACTCACATATATGTGAATCTGTATTTCCAATATTATGGCATTATTTTATTCATCATTATAATTTACGATATAATTCTCCTTAATACTTTCGTTATTATTATTATTACTATTATTTTATTATTATTATTATTTTCTTTATTATCATTATTTCAATGTAACTATTTATTCGTGTTACATTTAATATTTTACAATAATCCAAGAAATCATTTCTTTTATTTGTCATATTAAATAACTTTGAATCATAATTTCACAACCAATTATACCAACAATCATAACTTTACAATACAATATCCCGATTATTATATTAACAAATCATTTCCGCTCGGTCGCGGGTTCCAATCCGAAAATATAGTTTATAATCGTATTCAGTATTGCCATTGAATTTAAATACACTAGATATCCCTTTCCCAAATCCATTAACCGCTATGCCATCTCGGGCATGGCAACAACGCAACAAGATTGTTGCATAAGATTGTTCCATTCCATGCATTCATGTGCGCATGGAATGGTTTCCCCTACTATGCCGCACAGCGCATGAGAACGTATGGACTACATCAGCTCTCGACGTGATGCAATCCATAGTCCCGTAAGTGTCGGTCCACAATAGGTGATTTAAGCTTTAAAAAGTAAGAAATTGACCAATTATAATCGAATATGAAAAGAATAATCGACTATGATTGGTCAATTTCTTACGACTTAAAGATTAAATATTTATTGTGGACCGACACTAATGCGCTTAGACGGGAAAGATGTCTTTTAAAAAGTTGCAAGTTTATGTTGACAATGAATTGTGAATGTCGACGTAAAACCCTCACACAATGCGAAGGAATAGCGATAGCGATAGAAATAACACAGCAATAAACAGCGATAGAAACAGAAGAATTCAACATACAGAAATGCATATGGCAATACAGATTGGAACACAGAATAATAGCAATAAAATTTTCGACGAGTTGGAGTTCTATGTCTATCGCCTTATAGCCTATCAATCATAGCGTTCGGATTTTTTTGTTTACGTTATAGATTGCGTCCTGGTAATGAATATTGGAGCGCAGCCACAATCTTTTTACGGAGTATATAGGGGATAGTTTCGAAACATGTTGGATTAACAAAAAATGGAACATTCTTAATGCAATAACTTTCCAGACAATGGATTATTGTCCGATACACAAGGGGTGACACCCGTTTGACCACGTCCCGATTGACCACTAGCCACTTACAGGGGCTGGCGCCTAGAATTTTTCTACTGTTCAAGCGCTGTAAGTGGCTAGTGGTCAATCAGAACATGGTCAAATAGGTGTCACCCAACACAAGATACATTTGATGGCAAGATAGTACAGTTATTTGCATTGTACATATAATATATCAAATCATCTTCCATCTTACCTAAATATAATTTGCGTGAAAATATAATATATAGAATAATGTATATGAATACGTTTCAGAAATTTTTCTGTAATATTCCAGTTCAAATATTATGAAACTTATCAAAATTTGTTAAAAAAACCTGCTAAAAAAGTTAATCAAAAATAAGACGACTTTGATATAATATCATAAATCATTTAAACTTTGTCCTTTTCACGTTTTTAGGTTACGTTTACCTGAAGAGACGAAAGAATAGGTTCTTCACGCGATCTGATTGGCTTTTATTTCTTTCATGGCATTGTGCAATGCGAGGTGATCGCTTATTTCTATATTATTTTTATCGTTGTTCCTATCGCTATTCCTTCGCATTGTATAAGTGTCGATCCACAATAAGTATTTAATCTTTAGATCGTAAGAAATTGACCAATCATAGTTATTCTTTTCATATTCGATTATAATTGATCAAGTTCTTACTTCTTAAAACTTAAATCACT